CCGAAAGATTGAGTCTTTTAAGAAACTAGGTCTTTGGGAACGCCGCTCCATTCGGGTACACCCTGCCCCGACCCACCCTTGCCTTTCAAAAAGACCAAAAAGGGTAGGTCAATGGGGGGGGGGGTACCATATAGCTACCCCCCCCCCCCATTGACCTACCTTTGTTGGGGGTCTCAGGAGCAATGAGTGGCAATGATGCATGGACAAGGGAGGGCCTATTTTTGTCGCCATTATTTTTTTGCACCTGTGGCTTGTTTTCGCGTGTTTGTTATAGATAGTACTAGTACTGGGAATAGTAAAGAGTAATAGAGTAATACAGTCATAGACTAATAGACGAATAGACGAATAAACTAATAGACAGAATAAACTAGTAGACTAATAGACTAATAGACGAATAGACGACTAGACTAGACTAATAGACTAATAGACTAATAGACTAATAGACTAATAGACTAATAGACTAATAGACTAATAGACTAATAGACTAATAGACTAATAGACTAATAGACTAATAGACTAAACAAACTAAACAGACTAAAAGACGAAGAGACTAATAGAGTAATAAAGTCACAAAGCAATAAAGCAATAGAGCATAGAGCAATAGAGCAATAGAGCAATAGAGTAATAAAGAAAGAGTAATAGTACAAGAAACAGTGCGCGCGAAGCGCGTGACCCGCAGGCTTTGCTCCATGACTTTATGCATTGGTAATGGTAATAGTAATAGTAATGGTAATAGTAATAGTGCTGCATAGTAATAGTAAAGCAGTACCAGCAACAGTAGCAATAGCAGTATTAGTAGTACGAGTAGTAGTAGTAGTAGTAGTAGTAGTAGTAGTAGTAGTAGTAGTAGTAGCAGAGTAATAGAGTCATAGAGTCATAGAGGAAATAAAGTAGATAGAGTAATAGAGTAATAAATAGAGTTAGTGGAGTAGTAGAGTAATAGAGTAGAGTAATAGAGTAATAGAGTAATAGAGTAATAGAGTAATAGAGTAATAGAGTAATAGAGTAATAGAGTCAGAGTAATTGAGTAATCGAGTAATAGAGTAATAGAGTAATAGAGTGAGAGTATAAGAGCAATAGGGTCATAGAGTAATAGAGTAATAGAGTAACAGAGTAATAGACAGAGTACTAGAGTAATAGAGTAATAGAGCTTTTGGAGTAAGAGAGTAATAGAGTCATAGGGTAATAGAGTCATAGAGTATAAGAGTATGAGAGTAACAGAGTAACAGGGCCCAGGGCCCCAAACAAACAAAAAAAAATGGCAGCAGAAGCAGAAAACTAATGTGGCCAGATAGTCTCGGCCCCAAGTTCAAGACTCCAAAAGATTGAGGCCTCTCAGCACTTTGGAACTGTGAGAGCTGCAAAACCTGGAGCGGCCCCAATCTTTTTGAGATTCAAGACTCAAAAAGATTGAGGCCTCTCAGCACTTTGGGACTGTGGGAGCTCCAAAACACTGAGAGGCCTCAATCTTTTTATGATTTTGAAGCCAAAACGCTGGGAGGCCCCAAAAGACTCAAAAGACTCAATCTTTTGGAGGTCTTGGGAAACTAGCCTTAAAATCAATAAGATTGAGGCCTCTCAGTGTTTTGGAATCTGGAAGCTGCAAAACACTGAGAGGCCTCAATTTTTCTGAGGTTCGGGATTCCAAAAGATTGAGGCCTCTCAGTGTTTTGGAATCTGGAAGCTGCAAAACACTGAGAGGCCTCAATTTTTCTGAGGTTCGGGATTCCAAAAGATTGAGGCCTCTCAATGTTTTGGAATCTGGAAGCTGCAAAACACTGAGAGGCCTCAATTTTTCTGAGGTTCGGGATTCCAAAAGATTGAGGCCTCTCAGTGTTTTGGAATCTGGAAGCTGCAAAACACTGAGAGGCCTCAATTTTTCTGAGGTTCGGGATTCCAAAAGATTGAGGCCTCTCAATGTTTTGGAATCTGGAAGCTGCAAAACACTGAGAGGCCTCAATTTTTCTGAGGTTCGGGATTCCAAAAGATTGAGGCCTCTCAGTGTTTTGGAATCTGGAAGCTGCAAAACACTGAGAGGCCTCAATTTTTCTGATTTTGGTTATAGTTTCCCAAGACCTCCAAAAGATTGAGTCTTTTGAGTCTTTTGGGGCCTCCCAGCGTTTTGGCTTCAACATCATAAAAAGATTGAGGCCTCTCAGTGTTTTGGAATCTGGAAGCTGCAAAACACTGAGAGGCCTCAATTTTTCTGAGGTTCGGGATTCCAAAAGATTGAGGCCTCTCAGTGTTTTGCAGCGCCCAGAGTTCCAACAGTCTCCCTCGACCTCCGAAAGATTGAGTCTTTTAAGAAACTAGGTCTTTGGGAACGCCGCTCCATTCGGGTACACCCTGCCCCGACCCACCCTTGCCTTTCAAAAAGACCAAAAAGGGTAGGTCAATGGGGGGGGGGTACCATATATATATATATATTCATAGGTTCATGTTGGTATATGGTATGTATATACACATATACAAGTACGCACATACATTATGTTAAACAGCCTCCTGACGCAAATGACAGCGAAAATCGCTGTCATGCCCCGCGCACCCCTGAGACAATGACATGGCCACGTATGCAATATTTACAGGCATGGATCTGGAGGGTTTCGCTCTCGGTAGTTTGGGGTGGGGCGCGCGGCTGCCGGGTCTGTCCAGAAGAAGCACAGGCCGCAGCTTGGCAAGCGCGGGCTGCACGTCGAAGCAGTCCGGAAGGACAATCATGAGCACAATCTCGAGCACCAGAAAAAGCACAATCATGAGCACAATCTGGAGCACCAGAAAAAGCACAATCATGAGCACAATCTCGAGCACCAGAAAAAGCACAATCATGAGCACAATCTGGAGCACCCGAAAAAGCACAATCATGAGCACAATCTCGAGCACCAGAAAAAGCACAATCGTGAGCACAATCTGGAGCACCCAAAAAAGCACAATCATGAGCACAATCTGGAGCACCAGAAAAAGCACAAGGATTGATACCCAATGTGACGAACATCATGACTGCAAGTATGAGTTCATGAGGCGAATCATTGGCGTTTAAATTGTAATTACTTCAAAAAGCACAATCATGAGCACAATCTTGAGCACCAGAAAAAGCACAATCATGAGCACAATCTGGAACACCAGAAAAAGCACAAGCATGAGCACAATCTCGAGCACCAGAAAAAGCACAATCATGAGCACAATCTGGAGCACCAGAAAAAGCACAATCATGAGCACAATTTTCAGCACCAGAAAAAGCACAATCGTGAGCACAATCTGGAGCACCAGAAAAAGCACAATCATGAGCACAATCTCGAGCACCAGAAAAAGCACAATCATGAGCACAATCTCGAGCACCAGAAAAAGCACAAGGTTTGACATAAAACTGTAATGAAAAGCACAAGAAAGAGCACCAGCGAAATTGGCCAAAAGTTCCAAAAGTTTGATTGAGGCAGTGTGAGTAATTGAAACTGGCCAAACTGGCCAGGGTCCTGGCCGGGGAGCTCCGGCAGGCAGGCAACTCCAACAAAGCCCTTCAGCAACGCCCCTCAACAAAGACCTGCAGTAACAGGTTGGGGGCGTTAAATTCGTCGTTACAGCCAATGCCTGCATCCTGACGGAAGCCGCCCAAGAGCGATGCATTCTGTGTTCTGTACCACACCCAGTCCAATGCGAGCAATGCTTTGACAGAGATCTGGCCGATGGTTTAGGGCTTAGGGTGGGTTTCGGGCTTGGGGCTGAAAGCCTTGGGTTTTCCTGAGGGTTTAAGGCTTGGGGGTTGGGGTTCGGGGTTCCGCGCGAAGTTGATGGCATGCGACCAATGTTTCATTGATTCTATTCCCGAATTGGAGGTTGTGATCACTACCTAGTTTTTTTTTTGCGGTTTTGCTGGTGCTGTTTTTTGTGCTTCTGTTTGTGGTCACTGTTAGTAGGCCGGGTGGGATCCCAACATCAATCATTTAAATAAATAAAAATATTTGTGTATAGATGTATATACTTATATTCGTTATGTATATTTGTATGTATGCAAGTCTGTACGTACATACGTATGTATGTATTCCCGCATGTGTGCGCGCAGCAAGCTCGCACTTCGCACATTGTGTACAAGTACGAACTCAAACCACAGACTCCAAGGGTAAAAGGAGGGACCCTTAATAAGGACCCCTAGGTATATACCCTCAATATAGCTAATATATACCCATTTTATAGCCCATTATACCCTCCTTTTCCGCTTTGACAGACCCGTAATCCGAGAAGTTTCAGTAGGGGATGCCGCGACCAAGTGTTCTCAGGCCCCTATATCAGGGTCCGAAAAGGGACATAAGCATAAGCATGTTCTAGGGATGTCCCTATTTCATTGGGTTTCAATATAAGGGTTTGTTTTATGGGATATCCCTATCCTTGTTTTTGTTGCTTATGTGCTTTATTGGGGCCCTGCTATATGAATTCCTAATGTGTAGACTTTCTGTTACTCGTGGCTACCCTAAACCCAGAAACTCTGACAACCTTAAAGCCTTCCCAAAGCCCCAAACCCTGAACCAGCAAACCCCACAGGTCCTAGAAACCCTGAGCGCCAAAGTTTGAAAAACAGATTTCCGTGCACCCTTAACCCAACAACTCCAAACTCACTTCCCGATATCGATTTTGTCTAAGATCCCCCCCATCCCCGAAGCCACCAATACCTCAAATCCTGAACCCAGAAACTCCAGGACACATAATGTAGGAACCTGATTAAGAACTCCTTGCCCTATAACCCCAACATAGCAGGACTCATATAAGGAACCCCAATAAAGTCTCAAGGTTTCTTAATCAGGTTCCTACATAAGTAAGACCATGTCGCGAGCAGTTAAACCCCATCACCCCGGAACCTATAAACCCTAAACGGGAGTTGCCGAAAATTGGGGGGTACCTTCTTTTGGGGTTCTTTATAACAAGGATCCTACTATTTAGGGTACTATGTTCGGGTCCCTTATTTTCAAAAAACACCCCCAAACTCTGAATCCGAAACCCAAAACCCTGAGGCCTTGCTGGCTGCGTGCCCTTCAAGCCCCCTCGTCGGCCGGAGAAGCTGGACCCTAGGGTGTTAGGGTTTTACGGTTTAGGGTTTTAGGGTTTAGGGGTTGGGGTTTGGGGGTGTTAGGGTGTAGGATTTAGGGTTTAGAATTTAGGGTTCGGGGTAGACTGCTTGTGTTTCGGAGTTTACAACTGCGAGAGACTCTTTTGAGTTTAGCCCTGGGCACCGGGATTTGCATGGAATGAGCAGTCTTAGAGCCATGTTTTATATGGTTGTCATATTGGTGGTTCTGCAGATCTGGTACAGCTAACTTGGAGCTTTGTCTCAGCGTCGTCTCAGAGGGTTTCCAGTTCATTATTGTACCTGTTCATAGTACAGCAATACAGTAATGAGGGTACTGACATTGAGTTCCAACAGAGCCTAAGCGAGTTCACACCCTAAACACTTTCGGCCTGTCGGTTTACATTGTTTTGGTCGGGGAATTTACGGGGATGTAGGGTGTACCCTGAACCCTCAACTTTCTCAATGAGTCTCGAGGTTGTGACCTTGTTTTTGTTGCCCATAAAGCTGCCGCCAGAAGCAACCACCCCAAGCTGCATATGCCAAACGTTTTAGGGTTTAGGGGTTCAGGGTACCCCTGAGACGCTGAGCCTCTAAGCCCTAAGCCGTAAATGCTCCATGACAGGAGTGCTATGCAGTTGGCCCAGCGCACTGGAGATTCACTTGGCGCCTAGGCAAACATTGCTTTGGGGCTTCGGATATGGAGCATTTATACCCAGAGAGCCCAATACCCCTTAATTAAGGAATATGGCTTAAACTATATAGGGCTTCATATTATGATTTAAGCTATACTTTTAGCTTAAATCATAATATTCCTTAGGCTCTCTGGGTAAGGGCGCTCTCTCAAGGCTTCCACCAAGCATTCCATAAGCGTAGCACGGGCTCTAAGGGTTGCACAGGGTCCTGCAATGACTCCTCATCCCTGAGCGATGAAAGGCTTTAGGCGGGTTTTTTCAAGACGGGATTTGGGGCATAATTAGGGTTTGCAGGGCCAGGGTTCAGAGTTCAGAGTGCAGGTTTTCTATTCTTCGGGGATGTTAAGGCCTAGTGCTTCGGGGATTATAAGAGCTTCTCACTTTCTCAGTGTGAGTTTAGGGTCTAGGGTTACCGTATCAGGTTTTTTACTTGGGACCTCCGACAGGCCTTGGTGGCAGTGGTGGTTTCTGTTGCGGTCTACCCGCCGGGCTTTTGTAGATCCGAGTCATTACACCGGCCGGTTCTTGCTGTTTTGCCGCCGCCGTGAGTCAGTGAGTGAATGAGCCTATAGCAAAAGAAACACCGCTGCGAGGGGAGGGTGCAGCAAAATCAAGCAGGCACGAGGCCGCAAGTGAACGCCCGGGCGGGCTTGGGCAAGCTTCCCACGACCCTACAACTACTGGGTCCTAAACCCTAAACTAAACCCTGCGACTATGCCCGAAAGTCCGACGACGACTTGAGGAAGACAGCTCCCATGGAGAGCGGCCGTCCCGTGTCCCACTACGAAGTTCGGGTGGAGGCCGTCGCATCATGCAACTTCCCTTGATCAGGGCCCAGGTCCTTCAGCCAATTTTCACCACAAACCCTAAACCCTAAACCCTAAACCCTAAACCCTAAACCCTAAACCCCAAACCTTTAAAACAACTCAGGGATTATGTCGGGTCCCATGCATTGGGCTCATGAGGTTGACTGATCCGAACCAGAGGCTTGGGAGATGGCTCGCTGGAGAGCTTTTCTTTCGGTGCCTTGCAGAAATGGTATCGCATCTTGAATCAGAGTTCCTGATGATATGTGGGAGTTACCGAAAATTCGGGTACCCTATTTTGGGCTCCTTATGATGAGGATCCTACTATTTAGGTTTCTAGATTAGGGTCCGTATTTTCGGAAACTCCCATATGTATACTTTGGCACCAGTCCGGGGTGCGTTGTTACTTAGAGGGGCTATGTCCTCCAAGCCTTTGCCCAAGAATTGGTAACTCCGTTTACAGTGATGCACTTTTCTCTGTTATGCGTTTCCCCGTCCCAAGGGGTCCAAGTAGGAGGATAGTATTTACTTTAATTATACCTGCTGGTCCATGTACATATACCCTTTATACCTGCTGGTCCGTGTACATATACAGTATGATTGACGTGGCCCTAGTGTTACTACATACTACCCCGGTTACGACCCCCTTAAAGGCACTGAAAGATGTGATACAGGCCCCGTATCGACATACTACAGTAGTCTACCCCCCAGACCATGTTGACCCCAATATTACCGAAGCGTGAGATGTTGTGCCTGCCAGGACGGCGGCTTCTTTGTGACTGTGGCCGAGGTTTGCGTTGGGATGGGCAACATGTGAGGGTTGTTGGTAAGTCCAGAGTTTCTGATCTGAACATTCATTACACCCTGGAATTAAATCCTAATCCTAGATCAGATCGGTTGGGAATTTGGAGGTTTTCGGGTGCTCCAGGCATAGGGTTTGGGAAGAAGAAGTCGGGCATGTCAAGATTGGCAAGCTCCAACAGTTGCGACATCCCTCCTGGTCGTATCTCGGGGTTCAGGGTTTTGGGTTCAGGGTTTACGGTTTAGGGGTTTCGGTTTAGTGTGACATAGTTTCAGCAAGAGCAAGAGAACCTATGAGCTTCAAACCGTTGCGCACCCACGTTGCCGAACCTGAGGAAAGCGAGCAAGACTCCCTATATCATGTTATAATATATTTCAAGCCTTTTTCTGTAATTATTGAGTCCCGTAGATTTCAGCCGTACAATTTAGTACAACCCCCAGAACAACCGCGATATATCACATGAGCATCCCTTGGCTGAGGAGTATTCCGGAATATATATATATATATATATATATATATATATTAAAATCAAAGCCCTGTATACACCATGATAAGAGAAACAAAGAACGGTGTAACACCCTATCATATCCCTAAACCCTACACCCTTAGGGTTCAGGGGATGCGGCGCTCGCAACAGAAGCCATTTTGGCAGGTCGACCCAGCCGCTGCAACCGGTGTGCTCGAACTTAAAGAGGCGATTGGGGCTGTAGGGGGCTAAAGGCTGTCAGGAGTTTCAGGGTTTATTGGGGGTATAGGGGCTTTAGGACCAGTTGTAGGGCTTTCTTTTCGGTTTGGATCTTGGGGCTTTAGGGTTTACAGGGTTCTGTCGTTCTGGCTTTTGGGCTGAGGGGTCGTAGTTGTGGAGTGTTTGTACTTGTAGACTTCATGCTTTAGGGTTGGCCAAAAAACCTAGTAGCTGAGTGGATACACTTTACACTTTTGGGAGAATATTGCTCACTATAAAACTAAAAGGGCACACTTTTTTGGGGCTTATGAACTCAGCAACTAAGAAAAAGGGCGGGCGCTTCCTTGTCATTGGTCTCTCGATTATTTGCTCAGGGTTGGCATTCTTCTTATGAGCCGCTTTGTTGTTATGACTACTGTATATACAACCGCATATGATTTCCTAAGTTTGGCGCTACTCTGCGCAGTCGTGACAGTCCGTGTAGCTCATATCAGAATGTTCCAAACCCCTCTCTCAAGCACTTGCAATTGTCTTGCCCGGTGATCGTAAGTCCATGTAAGCCCTAAACCCCCAAACCGAAACCGTTTTTTTTGCATGTGTGGCAAGGCCAGGGCCGGGATTGTTAAGAGGCAATTGAACCCGAAAGCCTCGTATGTGCCTTGCAGCTTGTCAGGTAGGCTCATGGACCTTCATGCTTGCCGCGAGACCGTTACGCAGTAGGGATTAGGGTTTGAGCTGCTGACAGGATCAGTTGAGCAACCGCATCCGCTCCTGCCGCACGACTGTAAACTGGCCTTCCTTGTAGCAGACGTTCTGGACCTCAGAAATGCCATAAGCATGAGCATTTACAGGGATATCCCTGCCTCATTGGGCTGAATTACATGGGACATCCCGATCCTAATTTTTGCTTATATTCCTTTGTGGGACCCCAGACATAGCGGCTTTCGGGTTTCGGGTTGGTTCAGGGTTTGGAGTGTAGGGTTGCGAGGTTCCGGGATTCGGGCTTATTGCAGTCAGTAGGCTTCAAGGAACGAGAATGTATGCTCCAAAAATCAAAATTCTTGTCAGAACCAGAAATACCAGAACCCTAAACCCTACACTGCCCGAACCTGATACGTTGTCGACGCATGAGGCATCAGCAACTTCCGTACAGTGCACCAGCAAGCGTGCTGAGGTCTGTTGGCTTTTCCCAGTTCCTTGAATAATGGTTCACTGGGTTGCATATCATGTGGTTACTAGGTAGGGCTTTGGGACAATTTTATATTTTCCCTTATTGGGCTTAAGAGGATCTTATTTACTAATATTTTTCAAAGGCTTTGAAAGCCCCACCTAGGTTAGTAACCTACGTCGTAGAAACACTGGAGATTTAGGGTTTAGGGTTTAGGGTTTAGGGGTTTAGGGTTTAGGGCTGCAAAATCTTCCAAAAACACTTCCTCGACTAAGTTGACCCGTTGGAACATACCCCTAACCCGTTCTGCATCCTGTGTCCTCGTATTAACCCTCTTCAAACCCTATGAGGCCCCTGCAAATTTCTGATCAAACCCTGTAATCTTATCAAAATCAGCCGTCAGCCGGAAGAATCCTATAAACCAGAAGCCCCAGACCTTAAAGCTCTGAGCCCTACTTCAGGGTTCGGAGTTGTCCTCATATACCTTTGGTATACGTAGTATAGCCTGGCCCCTCGATTCTCAGGAGCCCTTCTCGTAGTCCATGTAGCAACCCTTATAGACACCTTTAAGGAGCTCTTTAAAGAACCTTACCCAGAGGCCCCATAGTAATTCCTTTTGGGGATTACCGTATAGGATTCTACATATGAACTTTTAAAAGGAACTTCTTCGGGGCCTTTGGGTAAGCCTACACCCTAAACCCTAAACCGCATCCCAGGCTTGCAGACGAAGGGCTCCCTGCGTGCGAAGCTCGCCGCCGTGGGGCGCGGGGGGTCTGCGAACAGCGAGGAGGTTCTTCGCCGGAAGCAGATCAGGGGTCCCTTGGGTTGATGATATAAATCCTGCATTACCTTAAGGACCCTAAACTATGGGAATAATGGTATATTCCTTATTATGGGTAATGCAGGATTTATATCATCAACCGTTCGGGTTCCGTTGGGTTTGGGGTTTAGGGTTTAGGGTGAAGGGTTCCATTAAGGTTCCTTGAAAGGTCCCTTCGGGGGTTCCCTTGAGGCCTTGATGGGTTCCTTATGGCGATCTATACAGGTGTAGGGTGTAGGGTAGAAGCATGGGTTCTAGAAGGGTGTTCTTCAAGGTCTTATAGGGTTGTTAGAGTTTTGGTGGCTTTGGGTTTAGGGCTCTCGGGCAGTGTTATGGGGCATACTTCCCCGAATCAGAATAGTAGTTCCTCGTATCGAGACCCTGGGTTCTACTATATATAGGTAGTTGTCTAAATTAGGGTCCCTCCTTTCTTACAAGGGTGTCCTACGATTTTTGGGGACCTGAAGCGGGACCCCAATTTAGAGAAGTACCCATAGCTTCCCGTTTGTGTAGTATCCTTCTAGAACCCTGTTCTGGAAGGCGCCTATTTTATTGGGGTCCCTTCTTGGGGTCCCTAGGGATCTTAGGGACTACTATAAAGGGACCCTTTTCAGGGACTACTATACTATTATTGGGGATTATATGGGTGGTTGTCAATACTAGGATCCCTTTTTGGATCCATATTATAATACGGCACCTAATATTTAGGGGCACCCAAAAAGGGACCCTACTTTCTATAGGTACTTCGGACCCTTTGGAGGAAGTTCTGGGGTGCTTCTGCTCTCGGGGGTTGCACGTTGGGTTATACCTGGATCCTATAAAACCTTCCTGCTTGTTCCCTATATACTATAGGTGCTATGGTGTATGTATATTTTTCTTTTTTCGTCCCGAAAAAAGTATAGGTTATTCGGGGTCCGAGGTCCAGGTAATTAACTTCAAGCTTCATCAGACGGCTCGGTGATTTAATCACGATGGAAGTTGCAAGCAGGGGACTTTGAACACCCTTTTGGATGATCACCGTGTGCTATGCGCCGGGTGGCTTCCATGGTCTATACTTCTCCCCACTTCGAAAACCCTCGTAAAACCCATTTGCACCCTCAGAAGACCATTATACTATGAGACACTATACGAAGCCATACAAAACTTCAAATTGGTATGGGTAGTTCTCTCAATTAGGGTCCCTGTTTCGGTCACCAGAATAGTACGGCAGTATAACAGGACCCCCAGGCACCCCAGAAAACCCTAAACCCTAAGCCCTTTTATGGCATGAGGCCCGGGCTTCCCGTTCGTAGGATTCAGCATTAGTTGGGTTTTGTGGCGTCTGTGCCGCCATGTTTTTTTTCGTGGGTAGGAGGTTTGTCGGTTTAGGGTTTAGGGGTGGTAGGAGTTTTGTCGGCTTTTTGTACAGGGTTTAGGACCGAGCGCTTATAGGCCTTAGGGTTGGGGATTATGACGCCGGTGTGGAGCTTCACCTAGGCATTCATGGAGAATGGTCTCCTTTAGCGAGTTGAATCTAGGCGTTTCGATTTGGAGGCACTTGTGTTTCTCGGCTTTTTAGGGTGCTGCAAGAAATCTCGAGGCGAATTTCGCGACGACGACTACAACGACAATAACACCACCAGCAGCAGGGGCGGCAGCAGCAACAACAAAGGCCAAAACTGCAACTACTTCCCCTGCTCCTACTGTCCTTCTCCTTACTTTTCCTTATTCTCCCACTACCACGACCAGTACCACCACCAGCTCCCTGCTACCCACTGCCACTACCCACCAACACTGCCCTTTGTAGCCTGCCGCCTGCCGCTTACCACCTACCTTTAGCCACTCCGACGACCAGTCGCGACGACGACTACGACAACTATAACCGGGAAAAAAGCTACTGTATAGCTAAACTACAAAATCTGCAGCTGTGGCTGCTGCTGATGCTGCTGGCACCTGTTGGCAACAGTTCGTGTCGAGCCAATAGACGTAGGAGCACTGGAACCATGTCATAGTTGACATCGTATGCGGCACTCCTTTACTAGCCCACCGGTGGAAGGTGATTGTGATTCCGCCAGGTGTCGTGCCAAGCCTTCCTCCGTGATCTTGCAGGCATGTCGGCACGAGTTGTAGCGGCAGCTGCCCGGAGCCCGAGGCGTTTCCGTAGCAGTTGTCATCATGCCCATGGCCTCTTTGTCATAGTTGGGTAATGTTTTTGAAGTTTATGCGTACTTAAACCTAATAAGGACCACAATTTTAAAAGTTTAAGTGTTTAATCCTATCCCATGTTTTAAAAGTTTAAGGTTTTAATCTTATCCCAACCATGAGCTAGGCCTGCGGCTGCACCAGGGGAAGCTCTGCCCTGGCTGAGTACTCCAAGTCCTTGCAGAAGAAGGTGGGGGGGTTTCCGAAAATCCGGGGGGTACCTTAGGGACCTTATAGGGTCCCTTTAAAGGGTTACTATAAGGAATAAAGGGTTTAGGGTTTAGGGTTTCCGAAAATCCGGGAGGTACCGTACTTTGAGGTCCTTACTTAATCTCTAAGGGGCTCTATAATTGGGGTCCTTAAAGGGATCTATGAGGGATCTATAAAGGGTTTAGGGTTTAGAGTTTCCGAAAATCAGGGGGGTTACCTTAGGGACCTCAGGGTTCAAATAAGGGTTACTACAAGGGTTCCTTTAAAGGGCTCTATATAAGGGGTTTGGGGTTTCCGAAAATCCGGGCGGGGGGGGGGGGGGGGGACCTTACTTTCCCTAAGGATCCATGAACTTAAATAGTATAGACACCCTAAATTGTGGGTTGCATTGCGACATGTGCCTTGCATGGGAGTTTCCGAAAATCCGGGGGCTGCCTTTAAAGGGGATCGTTTTAGGGCTCCTTTAAAAGGATCTATGACGGTTCTATAAAGGGTTTAGGGTTTCCGATAATCCGGGGTACCTTACTTTGGGGTCCTTAGAATAAGGATCCTACTGTGTAGGGTGCTATATTAGGGTCCTTTATCATCACATTGGGAAACTTTGAAATTTCCCTTATGTTTCCTGTAGTGGTAGCTATTCATGCATGCTGTTAAGGGCCCCAAAACTACAACCAAGGTAGAGACGAACCCGTTGGGCCTGCAGTACCCGATGTACACGGCACGACTTGAGGTCGTACTTGGCATGAGCCAGGTGGGTGGTTGTCAAAATTACTGTTCCTTTTTGGGTCCCTGGTATAATACGGCACCTAATCTCTAGGGTAGACAAAAAGAGACCCTAATTTTGACAACTACCCAGGTGCGGACGCACCAGGAGCTTCTGCATGATGGAGTGCTGCAGGAGTTCGACGCACGTCTTGGGAAGGCCATGTTCGTGTCACACCAGTGGGCGGCCAACTGCCATCCCGACCCGAAGGGCGAGAAGCTCAAGGTCCTCCAAGAAGCGCTCTCAAACCTGTCGGCGGGAAAAGTAAGAGCTTCACCCGCAGTGGAGGTCGAGATGTTGTACGGCCGCTTGGAGCCCTACTCGAAAGCTAAGCTGAATTCGGTCCAGGTGCATGTCTGGTACGACTACTTCTGCGTACCGCAGTTTTGCCTGGAGACGGACAGCGAAGCTTAGTAGCTGAGTGGATACACTTTACTCTTTTTTGGGATAATATTACCCACTATAAAACTGAAAGTGTACACTTTTGGGGGCTTATGAGCTCAGCAACTCAGGAAGAGGTGAAGATCCTCTGCAGCAATGCCCACCTGGACCAGCCCAAGGCCATCGCCAGCATTCCGGCTTACATTTTTGCCTCTGAATCCAGGCTGTTCAGTGGTACACTTTCTTACTTTCCGGTTTCTGGGTTCCTATTATAAAATAAGAAGCCTACAAAAGTATATACTTTTTCCCCGTGGGTTACTGAACAGCCTAGGAATCTAGGTATGCCTTTGGGAATTGTGGGTGTTTTCCTTTACTGGGCGCAAGAGGATCTTAGTTGCGGCTGTTTTTCAAAGGCTTTACAGGGCCAACCTAGGAATTCTTTGTGGCACTCTGCCCCACAATGCGCCATGTTGACACCGCTGCTGAGCTGAATCGCTATACCTGGCAGAGGCGCGGTTGATGCCGCAGCGCTTTCTCCTGGTATCAAGCCTCAAACTCGACTGATCGCAAAACTATAACCCAAAATCCTGAACTCATACCCCATAGCCTAATGAAGCTCTAAACCCTCAACCCTATTTTACTTGGAGGCCCAGAGGACTTAATAATTAGGTTATAAGTACGGTTATAAGTACCCCAAATGGAGTTACCCCAATCATAACCCTACTTATGACCTACTCACTAAGTCCCCTAGGCCTCCAAGTACTACAGATAGGTCCATGAATCTCTAAACCACCCTAAACCCTAAACCCTTAATCGCCTCTAAGCCCTCAACCCCACAGGAGGGGCTGGTGCCTCAGTGAGAAGATGACCCGGGAGCTCGCATCACGGGAGGGTCTCATTCTCCTCATCGAGAGCCCGATGCAGCTGTCCTTGATGCAGGCCTTTAGGGCTAAGGGTTTAAAGGAGGGGTGGGAATATGTGGCCATATTGTCTCCGATCATAAGTCCCTGATACCATCCCACCAAACCCTATTCGATTCTTAAAGGCTTGTACAATAAGGTTTGACTACCCTAAGTTAGGCGCTCCGTCACCCGAGCCTCTTTCGGTCCTTCCGGACGGGCTCAGCAGCTAAATGACGCAGGGTCGTACAGCCACACTACCTGCATGTAGGGTTTAGGCTCTCGCATGTCCTGGGCCGCCTTCGCAGAAGAGCCCTAAACCCTGAACCCGAAACCCTAAACCCTAAACCCTGACCCCTAAACCCTGAAACCTTAACCCTAAACCCTAACCCCTAACCCCTAAAATTTAAACCCCTGAACCCTAAACCCTGAAACCTAAACCCTAAGCCCTAAACCCTAAACCCTAAACCCCCTAAGCCGAACAGCTCGGGTCGTCGACTTCAAAGATGTCAGGCGCTCCAATCGAACCTCGGGAG